GGGGGGGGGGGGGGGGGGGGGGGGAAGGGGGAGATAAAAAAATCCGCGCAAGGGAAAAATAGAGAAAAAATCGCATAAACAAAGAAAAAGCCTTAAAATTCTACAATAAAGTCCTGCACCAGCGGACAGTCCGTAAAAGAAATTCATTCAAGCTGCAAGCCCCACAGGGCGTCTCTTACGTTCTGCTCGGAGTGTTCCCATGGGTCATTTCGCGAACTTTTGGAGTGAGGAAATGTGATCCTATTGGTTCAAATAATCCTCAACTAAGTTCCAACTCCTGAACTAGAACTTCTCATTTTCATAATGAAATTTAGTGGAAATATCTGATGATCCCTGCATGGAATCACAGATGGAATGGTTTACAGATTAACAGTAAGCAAATATTCCGATGGATTGTAATATAATGACCAACGAATCAGCAAAGCCAAAAATAATGTCTACAAAATTGACTCTAGGCGTCGGTAAATCACGTCATTAGGAAATATTTTATTTCAGGTTCTGAAAGAGAAAATCAGACATGAGTTTCGCCACTCTGGTATATCTAACTGAATGCAATCTCCAAACAAATTAGATTCACTGCCCAACGTCTCAACATTCTACTCTGGGGTCTTCATCAGGAGTGATCGTTCCTGCAAAAAAATTTGACTCCAACTTGAGTAAATTAATGGACGCACAGTGACTCAAAATTTTCAAATTTACTCAAAAATACTCAAATTAATGAGCAAATTTACTCATGTTTATGAGTAAATTAATTTTGAAAGTTTCAAAATGCTCGAGGGTATTTCGTAGTGTGTCGTTGCCCGCCGCTACTGCTACCATTAATGGACTATTAACCAATCACATGCATATGTTTGATATATTCAATTAACCACTCAAATGCGTACTAAACCTCTCTGTTGTTTCTTCAAGGATGACTAGTTCATCGCAAAATTGCTAGATACAGTAGCTACCGTCATCAACCTTTATTCAAGGCATGGGGATTCAATATTAATTAGCGTTTTCAGGTCGTAATCACTTGGTATCACACTTAAAAAAATATAGGGTTGCTTTCCAGGGTCAGATCGATCAAGTTGTTATAAAAATGCTCCTTGGTGGAGTACAGGGACGCGCTAGCCTTATTTGAATGGGGGGTGGGGGGTGGGGGGTGGGGGGTGAAAGTGAAATTTTGCAGAGTCAATTCCCCTACGTATACCATAACAATTTGTTGAGATTTTGTTGGCATCTCCCTCGAATGAATAATAGTTGAAGGTTATAAATGTATATAAATTTCCCCTCGATAATTTCTATCCACAAGACCCTTCAACCATAACAATTTTTCTTTATTATATAATTTCCCCCGAAATTGTTTGCTCCGGGGGGTGGGGGGAGGTAGGAAAAATATATTTTCCGGGCATAAAAATTTCCCGCACATAATATTAAAATTTCTTTTTTACAATATACACGTTCCGTTTCTCATTAACTTTTCTTTAATCTTCCTCTCAATTTTTACTTAGAATTTTCTCTTTTCAGAAGTTTTATTTAAACATTTTATTTTCGTTTCTTTCTATCCAATAGTCATGTCTTGCCGACTGTGGAAACAATTTGCCTATTGACTGACAAGTGGGGGATGTCCCAACCCCCCTCCTCCACAGTCCACACACCTCCTCTAGCGCCGCCCCTAATGGAATATAAAACTTTTGGATTAAGACTGGTCGGAAAACTTGGTTAAATCAAACCCTTTTGAACAAATGGAGATCCACTTTGGCCAGATTTCTGAAACTGACGTAGCCCAGATCTATCTCTGATTAAACAAAAGTCAGAAATATTGCTCTAACTGGTGAAGCGCGCTATGTTTGTCACATATGGACTGCAACACCCGATTTCCCTTGTTTTTCATTATTGTTTTGTTTTATCTACTAAAATATTTAATACGAAACCACTGGTTCCACTTCTTTTAGTTTGACCTCGTAT